TATATATATATATATATACTGTTTACCCTGAAAACATTCCATTTAACAGAATTGCCTTCTTGCAGACTCCAGTATTTACCTGTCAACATGCTGGAAAAAAGCATGGCAGGGAAGTAGTGGTGAAAGTAGAGAACTCGTCCCATCATAAAAAAAGGGAGGTAATGAAGGAGCCAGCCCAGCATGATCTGCCCTCCACCACGTAGCACAACTCTGGACAGTTCTGGAACACAAAGAAACTGACTTCAGCAAAGAAAAACCCAACTACAGCTCCTGTTTGCAAGCCTTATCAGAGTAAATGAACTCAAGAGGAACGATTTTTGCAAGAAGTTTTGTGCTGGTCTGAAATCACTTCAAGCCTCTGCAGCGTCCTAGCTGCATTCTTTATAACACACAAACACTTTTCAGGAGAAGAGTTATCAGAAAAGATACACAAAGTCTTAAGTCTCAAGGGACTGGCAGGAGGTTGACCATGCTCTATATGAAGACTGAACTTGCAGTTTTTCAGGCCCTTGTTAGACTAATGACGTCACTCCACTTTCTGATCGTTTTTTATTCTCTCCGCAATAAGACTACAAGACATCCAATGATCACTTTGCCAGCTCTTCCTGGAAAGAAATGTGCCCTAGCATTCAGAGCCCAGGGAAGGAACTGAGGGCTCTCGTGCCTGCATGTAGCTTAACCAATAACTACTTGTGTAACTGTTTAATATCACAGTTCTGAATTCACTTCCCACAGAGAGATCTACAAAATGAAGAAATCGTTGATGTAAATTGGAATGGTCAAAGTACTAGCATTTCTGAAAAGCTCTACAACCTTGGCATTGGACTTAGTAAAGGATCACTGCATCTCTAGCATTGGTCATCTCCTTTTCGTAAGTATCAGGAAACATTCCTCATTTCAATACACCATGCACAGGACAGCAGCACAGAGCACACACAGAGCTTGAGAGAAGGGCAGGGATCCAACTGGTCTGTTTCCCTTACAAGGCAATACAGGTAGCTCCTTGCAGTATTTTTGTTGAACATCTGCCCTATTTAATATCAAACTATCTGGAATACTAAGCTCACACTCTTCCTTGTGGACATTGCTCAATAGCCCAGTTCAGTGGTTTCCCACCGTTGGAACAGTAAGTCCTGCCATCCACACACTTTTAACGTGCCTGCAAAAGGCTTTTGTGAAAATGAAGCCCATTATCAGTAACCTATGTGGGGTAAGTAGTATCTCTACTGAAAAAAAAAAAAAAAAAACCAAAACATTTTGGAAGCCTGGAAAGTGGAAGAAGGTAAAAACCAAGTGACCAATGGATCTCTGCATCAGGAAGGTTTCCCTGATACATGTTTTATCACCGTCTCCTGCTGACATGTCCAGATCAAATATAATCTTTCCAACAGACACACATCTGGTCCTTTCTGAGCTGCAGTAATCAATGTAACTGACAGCAACTGTGGCCAACATCTTGACTCTTGAGCAGTTCACAAACAACTCCCATGCTAGGCTGGGTGATCATCTGCAGAGCAGAGCTGGCATGTGAGCTACTGACTAATCCAAACACCTGTCTCCTGCAAGAAAATAAGGCAGCAAAAGTCTATTGAGACTCCTATCTTTGGATCACCTTAAGATGCCAGCTATCCAGAGCAATCTCCAGCAAAGGAGCAATAAGACTTTTGAGGAGCCACTGATCACACCTCCTGCCTGTGAGGCACTTCTGGAGCTCTTCTCTTTCACTAAGTACGTGTCTCAAGGACCTTGCTCACTTGAGGACTTCCAATCAAGTCTTATAGGCTTAGGAAATATGGCAACTCATCCGGAATGATCTGCCATGCAGAAAGTGGGATTTATTCATCAGAGTGATTATTTCTAGTATGGGACCCTTTCTTAACAGTCACATTGTGCAGTGCTACACTTTCAAAGCACTGTATAGCTTACTGTTTTGTTCATAGAGCTGCCTCGAGTTTATTTTGTTCAGCTTCCAGGGTTTTAATACAATACAAAAAAAAGATGAGTTTTTTTAATAGAGAAGTTCCAGGATGAGCTTTCCTGTAACAAGAAACCAGGATGTTATAACAGGGATTCTATAGCACAGGATGGATAGGAAGACTGACCTTACCTTTGAGTTCAGATGTCAGTTGGACACCTCTCTTCAGGGCAACTGCCATGGAAACTGCTATCAGAAGATACAACCCAATAGTGATCAGATTTAGCCACCAAATCACCTACATAGGAAAAACCAGGAAGATTTGGGACTTTAGGCTGGACATGCACATGTGAGAGGAAATGAACATGCAAGTATAAGCATAGAATGAGAGAGACAGTCCAAAAGGAGGAGAAGGAAAAGAATAATTGTCACTGGCTGAAGCAAGACTAAGCTAAGATTTGCTGAAGACACTGGCTTGGAACCTCCCTCTCCAACTTACCGGGTTGCCCAGCAAATAAACCCGATAATCAGTCTCATTGACACCAGAAAAACGCAGGCCCTGAGGAAACAAACCAGAAGGGAGTAAAATGAGTTTCCATCAGTCCAGTTTGTATCTTGCACAGTGTCAAAGGTGAGACAAATTCCCATCCATGCAGCTCATGGGCTACAAAATAAACCTGACAACATCTTCAATGCAATTCTGCTTCAAGAAGCACAGCAAACACACTTGAAATCAGATAGGAAGGCAGATTCATCAATATACCTGGTAGTTGATGGGCCAGTGCCAAGGTTTTGATGTAACTTCATTGTCCTTTGGTTTGAGGCCGCTGTTTCCCTAC